AGCCTCGAGAGGCTCAGATGGAGAATGGCTAAATTCGCGGCCCTGATTACTGACCAGAGTGGCCATTTTTCCCTTACCCTCAACACTCATGGGCTGCAGAGATACGATTTGCGGGCGCCTCGAAAAGGACATCGGTGAGAAAAATGCCTCCCCAGGACGCGTTTGCTTTGACAGCGTTGCCAAGATTATGCGCCCCAGCAAGTACACTGCCCTCGAGAAGTGCATAGTGAACGCGGCATCCTGTGGAGAGAAGTAGACTAGGCAATACGCTCGTGGTGAAGGCTACGACTATCATCCTGATTGTCCGCTCGGATGGGGATGCCCAGACACGCTTTTTCACAGGATCTGGAAGTACCCCCTCGAGGGTATCGATCATTCCATCGAGAATAGGAATCCCCTATTCGCGGTCACCCGAGGGAGCTTCCCCCACCCAGGCGATGAGCCTTCCCCTCCCCCGCTTGCTGAAGGCCAACGCAATGGCATGTTACGTGGCGCGTAGATGCGCCCGAGGATATCATGGATATCGAGGGAACGATGGTTATAGACGGAGGTTGCACCAGCCATCCAATCCGAGAACTCAGGGAGAGCCGGTTGGAATTGCGCCGTGCCTCCGTTTCCAGGACCCCGATGGGAGGAGGAGGAGGAGGAGGAGGAGGAGGAGGAGGAGGCGGAGGAGGAGGAGGCGGAGGAGGGAGGGGGGAGGAGGGGGAGGGGGAGGAGGGGGGAGGAGGTGGGGAGGAGGGAGGAGGAGGAGAGGAGGAAGGAGGAGGAGGAGGAGGAGGAGGAGGAGGAGGAGGGAGGAGAGGAGGAGGAGGAGGAGAAGGGGAGGAGGTGGAGGAGTTGCTTGTGTGCGCCATGAAATGTCCAGTCTGGGCACCTCTGCCCCGAGGCTCCTCAGAGTGCCGGAGAGGGCAACGCTTAAGTCGGGCCTGTCCCCCTGCAGGGGGATTTTGGACGAAACATAAAAAGTAGTCAAAAATGGCAAAAAAAATCGCCCCCAGACCATTTTTTTACTATTTTTGAACATTCCTCCTGTAGAGGGACAGGCCCGACTTAAGGCAACGCACCTCAGGAAACAATGCGGCGGTCAGACCGTCCAGGCTCAGAACAACAAGCATCGGAAGCATTCAACAGCCCTCACCAAAATCAAGGCTCACCGGTCCCTGCAAAAAGAAGGTTTGAGCCAGGACGAACATCTTACGCGAACAGGTGATCACTTGGCAGGCCTGGGGGCAAAAGTCGCAGCGGTGTTGCACCCGCCTGCCGAAACTGAGGTGCAAGAGATCATCAAAAAAGCGTATCAGTTTTGTGCATTCACTTTGCGTAAAACTTTTAGGTAGATTACCGTCTTTCGAGGAGTACGGAGAGGTCGCCTACAACCCCCGATATTCCGCGGTCCCCATGGCCAAGCGTTCATACTTGTTCAAAGGGATAGCTCGGGGGGAGATGCGCTGTGTGTTGAAGTTTGGCCGTAACATGTCACAGCCAGGTTGCGCCCCGACTCGTCACTGTAGCAGGAAGTCCAAGGAGAACGGTCTGGCCAGAGTCGCAGGTTTCGGACGCAGCATCACAGTCCTCGCTTGTTCAGACGCCAGCTCTCACACCACTGCGCAACATGATTCATGGATGACGAAACTCGAAGGCGGCCAAGAGGGGGCGTCCAAGAGAGGGGGGGCGCAAATTATGGCCGGCGGCACGTGCGCGGCCTAAGGGGGGGTGGCCAGGAACGTAATGAAATAAGAAGAGGCACCATGAAATCTGAGAAAATATCATGGCCCACGCCATGATATCCACCCCCCTAGTCATCACCCCCTCTTGGCCGCTCCCGACTCACACAACTGCGCAACATGATCCATTGATGACGAAACTGCACTTGCTCCGCACCGGGCCGCTGGGGCGGCTGTGGACTGGAGGGGCGTCGAGGAGAGCGCGCGCCACGCCCATGGCTAGCCTGACGCCAACGCTCTCTCTCTCTCTCTCTCTCTCTCTATCGGTTCACTGCGCGTCTTTTGTTTCGGTGGGCTCCCCTCTCCGGAGCAACCCATGCAGCGCTCACTGCCCGAGGAGGGCGGCGGCCCGCCGAAGGACGCCACGGAGCTGGATCCCATGGAGGTCGCAAGCTGGCTCAGAAGACGTCCTCCGAGCAGGGAGGTCCAAGCCTCCCGTGCATGCTGCCAGATCCCATGCCTCTGACCACCTGCCCCCCATGATAGGCCTGCTTTCCTCCACCACCACCACCACCATAAATTGGCGTGGGAGGGGGTCCTCCTCCTCCTCCTCCTCCTCCTCCTCCTCCTCCTCCTCCTCCTCCTCATCCTCCTCCTCCTCCTCCTCCTCCCCCCCTCCAACTTATGGTGGTGGACGAGAGGCGGGCGGAGGAGGCCGCATCAGGGCCAGCAGGCGCCACTCAGCTCCGCGAGGTGGCGGCCGCCCTCCGCAGGGAGGGGTCGGCGTCATCTCTCCCGTCTGGCAGTGGTCGGGGGGCGGGCGGTGAGGACGACGGGTGGGGACCTGATTACCTTCGGCACTGTCCGTGATTCTGGCCTATGCTGCCTCTGACGCTCTCTGTGACCTGTTCGCAGCAAGTCTGTTCGGCACGCCTGGAGATCCCTCCCCAGGCCTGGCCTTACTCGCTGCCCGATCTTCCTCCGTGACCCTCTTGCCACAGGGCTGGACCTAAACGGTGTTTTTGGTGATTTCGTGGGCCGTGTTCGTTTCGCCTTCGTTCTGCGGTAAAGGCGGATTCGAGACCAAAGCGAGGGAAAACGAAAACGAAACGAAAACGAAAAACACCGTTTAGGTTCGGCCCTGTCTTGCCACGCCGGCTCGTGCAGCCGTGGTGCTGCACCCACGCGCTGCATCGCAAAGTCTGCTGACCGCTGCACTGGCCGCGCAGACCCGCGGGGTCCGGCTTGCGGCGAGGAAGGCACGTTACAGGCCGCGCATCTGTCCCCTCGGTGTGGGGTACAGCGAGGCTTGCCTCTGGTGCCACGTGGTTGCAGGCCCCGCAAGCTGCTCGCGCGTGCTCGGGGCTCCCGGCTCCGATCTGGTCTCGCCCTCTGGTGCTTCCCTCGGCAGTCCCGAACGTGACGCCGTTTTTTCCTCCTCCAGGATATCTGAAGGGGCCCAAGGACACACAAATAAATACACACAAATAAAAGAATCCCCCATGTTTTCCCATATTTTCTGGGTTTCTGTCTTCCCGCCCACTTCCCATATTTTCCTATATTTCTTGGGAAATCGAGGATTAATTGTGTCTGTGTGTTTCTTTTCCTCCTGGATATCCCTGTCGTGATCCTGGAGCGCCAATGGACGTCTGTCGTCGTCTGGGGGCCGACCTCCGAGGTTCTACCTCGGAGGCCTCCCGGTGCAAGCCTTTGGCTGCGGCCTGGCACGGTGGCACCTGGCACCTGTTCGGCGATCTGGCCTCCCTCCCAGACAGCCGCTGTGCCTCGATGCAGCTGGAGCCTCGCGGGGGGAAAATAATCCTCCTCCTCCTCCTCCTCCTCCTCCTCCTCCTCCTCCTCGTCCTCCAACGCCTCCTCCAACTCCTCCTCCTCCTCCTCCTGCTCCCCTTCCTCCTCCTCATCATCATCGTAATCATCATCATCATCATCATCATCATCATCATCATCATCATCATCATCATCATCATCATCATCATCATCATCATCATCATCATCATCATCATCATCATCATCATCATCATCATCATCATCATCATCATCATCATCATCATCATCATCATCATCATCATCATCATCATCATCATCATCATCATCATCATCATCATCATCATCATCATCATCATCATCATCATCATCATCATCATCATCATCATCATCATCATCATCATCATCATCATCTTCATTATCGTAATCGTCATCATCATGATCATCATGATCATCATCATCATCATCATCATCATCATCATCATCGTCATCAGCGTCATCATCAGCATCATCAGCATCATCAGCATCAGCATCATCATCATCATCATCATCATCATCAGCATCAGCATCATCAGCATCATCATCATCATCATCAGCAGCATCCTCATCCTCATTATAATCCTCATCATCATCAGAATCATCATAAGCATCATCGTCATCAGCATCATCGTCATCATCAGCATCATCAGCAATATCAGCACCAGCATCATCATCAGCATCATCACCAGCAGCAGCATCATCAGCATCCTCAGCAGCTGCAGCATCAGCATCATCATCATCGCCAGCATCATCATGATCACCATTACCCATCATCATCATCATCATCATCATCATCATCATCATCATCATCATCATCAGCAGCATCATCAGCATCATCAGTATCATCAGCATCATAAGCAGCAGCATCATCGGCATCATCAGCATCATCATCATCATCAGCATCATCAGCATCGTCATCATCGTCAGCAGCAGCATCACCACCGCCACCATCCTCATCCTCATCCTCCTCATCATCAGCAGCATTATCAGCATCATCATCATCTTCAATCATCGTCATCCTCATCCTCATCCTCATCATCATCATCATCATCATCATCATCATCTTCATCATCATCATCATCATCGGCAGCATCGTCATCATCAGCATCATCGTCATCATCAGCATCATCAGCATCATCATCAGCATCATCATGATCATTCATCATCATCATCATCATCATCATCATCATCATCATCATCATCATCAGCATCAGCATCAGCATCAGCATCAGCATCAGCATCAGCATCATCATCATCAGCAACAGCAACAGCAACAGCAACAGCAACAGCAGCAGCAGCAGCAGCATCCTCCCTCCTCCTCATGCTCCTCCTCCTCCTCCTCCTCCTCCACCTTGCCCCCCCCCCGCGCTCCCTCCGCTGCGCCGCTTCTCCTCTCCCCCCCGCCCGCCCCTCCCGCGAAAACCCTCCGCCAAGACATCCTGGTCGTGGACGGCGCCGCCCACCAGCGACCCCCGCCCCCCCTCCGCCCGCCCCACGGGCGGCGCTTGCCGTGACCAGCTCCCCGTCTGGCAAGAAGGCCACCGCGGAGACCTCTGGGGGAGGGCGGGGGGGGTTCGCTGGCGCCGCCGCGCGCCAGGATGCTCTCTCGACAAGAACAGGGGAGGGGAGGAGGAGCGCGAGGAGGAGGAGGGCCGAGGGAGGACGAAGGGGCGAAGGGGCGAAGGGGAGGGGGAGCGGGAGGCCCAGCGAATGGTGAGTTCGGTTGCCTCGGCCCGCCTTGCCAAACGGGATCCCCCCCAGGAGCTCGCTGACGACCTAGGTCCGGAGCCGCGGGGGCCGCAAAATGATCGGCGATCCTGCAGTTCCCCCATCCGGCGCCTTCCTTCCAAAGCACGCTGTAACTGGAGGGCCCTGCCGCTGTCACGGCACACTATCGGGCGATCCGTGTGGGAACCTCGGGAATCATATTCGCTGAAAGAACCACATCGGCGGCAGAGACACGTGCTGAGCGGAACGCTCTCGTCTAAATAGCCGAGTTTTTAAATAAATATTGTGGTCTCCGGCACTGGCGACAAAGGCATGGATGTACCCACACCATCCTGGACAAAGCACGTTGCATCTGGTGACAAGTACTCCCTTGCTGCCACATCTGACTCTGCACGCCGCCCAAATCCACCGACTGCCTGACGCATGCCAGTGGCGGGCCCCCTCTGGGCTCCGGGGTCTCGATTGCAAGGGGCCTCGGAGGACCCTGCGGGCGGAGGGCCCCGCCGCAGCCGCCCCTGCGGGCTGGTTGAGTGACCTGACAAGCCGAACCAAACCTTTAGCGCCCGCCTTGGGGGCCGCGGTGGGCCAAAGCTCGAGGGCCTCCGACGCAAACCTCGAAACTTGTCCAGCAGCTTGTATTCTCTAGCTGGCTGGGACGGGGACCCCTGGCGACTGCTATCTTCGCTCCGCGGTCGGCAGTCTCGATACTTTTGGCGCGTCGCCACTGGTCCGAGCCAGGGATCATCTCATCGCCAGTCACGCGCGCCTTCGCTTTGCGGAGCCAAGGACGGTGGGGAAACAGCGCGGCCCCTCCGAGCATCTTGAAAGCACGATCAAGATCTGGCCGGGAAAATGACTGCTTCTTGCGCACATCGACGACGCCCTGCTAATCTACATAAAATTCGGCGCGTGAGCTCCCATGGGGCCCAACCGCCAGCACACCACAGCTGGGGAGGTCTGCGCCAAGAAATTGCCGACCCTCCCCGTCATATATGCACGCCCGCCCCGCGAGCACCCGCGGCTGCGACAGCCCAACCAGCCAGGTCACACACAGGACCCCCCTGGCTCGATGCAAGAGCCGCCAGTGTAACATTTCCCCGAGACGAGTTGCCGCGGCGATAAGTTGGGCCCCCAGCGCGACAACTCCGCGCTTTCGCAGCCGAATCCAGCAGGAGACCCCGCGTCGACATCGCGCAAAATCTGCAATCCTCAGGCCCGGATCTGGTCGGTCAGATACACGCTTCGTTCGCGCTCGCGCTGTCATTTAAGACGCACATTTATCGCTGAAAAAACAAACGAGAAAGACAAAGAGATAGCAGCGGTCTTGGCGCACACTAAAAGTCGACACGTGATACTGTCGCGCCTGCGATCACACTCACGGTCTGACCCCGCCACGTCGCCTGCAGAGGCGAGCCCGCAATGCGCCCCGATACACCGCGCGAGAAAACAAATCAGCTTTGGCCCGACTCCCCGCCCAGCCCATCCCCCTCAATTCACCCGCGGGAGACGCTGACATCGAGGACCCCCTGGGGTGGTAACCCAACTCGACGGCGGCCCAGTAAAAAAAATCAACTTGCCCCCAGCCACCTGCATCTTGAGGGCGGGGCTCAATTCGCGAGCGGGCGCCCACCGAGTAGAAACTCCCAGCCGACCCGCTCGACGGATTGGCGGGAGCCTGCGAGGGGGCCTCTTCCTGCGCGCTACTCTCCGGGGCGGCCGGCTAGAAAAGGTTCCGCCATGCCTTCGAAATCTCGAAGCTCACGGGGGCCCGAGGCCGGGGTCGCCACTCTCCACGCCACGTAGCCCGCGCCAGCGCAAGCCCAACACTGCTCGCCAAGCGGGGTCGCCAAGCACTGCAAGACTTAGGCCACCACTGAGAGTCGCTCGAAGAGGCCCCGCTGTCCGCGGGCACCCCGACTGGAGCGCGCGGCTCGCTCTCGACAACTGCGACCACCTCCGCCCGCGCGGGGCCCCCTGCTGGAGCACTGCCCCCCAGAGCTCCCCAGCGTCTCCCCCCCGCCGCCCCGGTCGCCCGAATCCGACGCCCCCTGGCGCGATGTCCCGCGAAACTGCTACACATGCTCGCGTTTGATCCCAACCCCCGGGGCCCCAACAGCGCCGTCGACCCCTGGGCGGGCTGGCGGCAGCGCGCGGGCCCCCGGAGCCAGCGCGCTCTGAGGGGGGGCCCTTCCGAGAAGGGAGCCTCAAGCGGGGCTCGACGCGATGATCTGGGCCTCGCGATGCGAGAGCTTGCACTCCAGGTCCTCCTGGATGATGGGGGCCCCTCTCGCGGCCGAGTGCTGCAGCTGTCTGGGAACGGCCAGGGCTATCTCATGCTGATGGGCCAAGACGAGGTCATCTATGAACATCTGGCGGCCAGCGCACTTGGGGCACGCGGAGCTCCCGGCGCCAGGAGTCAAAGACTATACACCTAAGCTGTAGAAGGTGGTTCACTCGCAGCCAGCTGCCACGATTCGAGCCAGGTGTCTGCGATCCAAACTAGATTCCTGGCCACGACCAGCCTCTGGCTACTACGCTGACCCAGCAAGATCTTCACGCGGGCGCTGCGAGAGGCGGCGTCGCGGGCCCGCCCCATGAGCTTCCGGCACCTACCACGCTCACGAGTTACGATATTCCCGCGGCGCCCCTCCTGAGCACAGGGGATCTTGCAAAGTCACTCTACTCTCCACCTTGAACCCCCCCGAACAAAAATCGACGCGCCCGATTGGCGCGCCCGCCTGGTGGGCCAAGCAAGATATCCGAACGAAACCTCGATCATCAAAGCCTGGCTGTCCGGCGTCGAACATATCCCCAGATTCGGCTCATACCTTGCACAATGGCTGACCTGCTTTCTGACTGGTCTTGCACTGAAACAACTGCCTGCGAATGGCCGGGCACGCCTCCAGCGAGCTCGATCGACTCGAAGAAACAGCGGCCGGCGATGTCCGCCTGCCCTGTTGAGAGACACCGATAGCGCCCAGGCTGAAACCCGCCCCACGGACGCCACGCAAGGCGAAGTCCGAGCAGCGTCGGCGAGATCTGCCAGGCCCCAAAACCGGTCGCTGTGGCCCAAGAGGCCCCGGTACTGGATGCGCCCCAGAGAATGCTGAGCCGATCAGCCTCGTGCTCCAGGGCCCTACTGGGGCGCCGAGTCATAGATACTCTACAGGGCGCCTGCGAGGGCTACTAGGCGCCCAGTGACTTCGCCCATCCATGAGCCAATCCTACACTGCCCTGGACGCATGTCTGGACCCACTCCGGCCAGGACCGAGACGCCTCCTGCTTCTCCAGAACGACCCCCCCATCGATCAGCTCCGCGACATTGCTCAAGAACTCCTCCAACACGTTTAGCCCGATCTCCGCCCCCAGCAACAAGGCCAAAATCCATCTGTATGATACTGAATATATGCGCCGTGCTGGCGAGGATGCCACGAAGGGCCCGCCCCCTGAACCTCCGGCGGGGGACCTCGAGGCCGGCCGCGGCACCCCGCGAGGCAAGGGCGCCCATCTCCTAGGCCTGCGAGAGAAACTGGCACACAACTCATAGGACCTGCACGCGACGCCCAAGCAACACCACGCAGCTCATGCATCCCGAACGCGTTAATCCATTCGACCCGCGGAGGGCACGCGCCAGGCCTCGATGCCAGCCTCAGAACCGCATCCGTCAAATCGCCAGTTGCACTTTGAACCCCCTGCCCCCCCCCCCAAAAAAAAAAAAAAACAAGCCGCAATAATTTGATACTGTCGCGGCTCGAACCGCCGGGCGCCGCTGGCCATCCACTGCGCGGCCGCCCCCAGCGCGGCCCCCGCGGCGTCCCGCTCTCGCCCCAAACGCCCGGGGCCAAACAACCTGGTCGAAGCGCAAAAGCCCCGCCACGCTGATGGAATCTGAGGCGAGCTGAACGCGCCTGCTCCCCAACCTCGAAACTCGCACCAGCGGCCTGGCAGCGCCATGCTCGACGCGGCGCGCAACTTATGCTCCTGCGCGCCAATGACGCGACTGCCCCCAGCGAGTGGGCCCGCGATCAGCTGCTCGACGGCGCCCTGGCAGCTGCCGCCGATCGCGGGGATGCCGGCGGCGTTGCCCACCTTGCATTCCCACCGCGATGACCTCCGCATTCGAGCTCACGATCGCCACGCGAGCTGACTTGAGCCTCTCGCCCACAACATGTGCTCCGAGACCTGCTTCCAGTAGCTGTCGCACTACCATCTCGAGGTCCTTCACCATCCCCTTCTTCGCCTGCAGCACGAGCTCACCCTCGCCACCACCGCCGCCTGCTGGGACCCACGCCCTCCACCACTGAAGGCAGACACTGGCTGTACTTGCGATGCCGCCGCCACATCACTCGCTGCTGGTGCTGCTGCTGCTGCAGGGCCTGGGGCAGGTGCATCAGGGGCGGCTGGGAATTGGCCCACTTCATGCGCTGACGGCATCTGCTGCTGACTGGAATGGATTTGCTCGAATAGAGGATGCCACCTCCACGAGCTTGGCTCCCAACATTGGTGACAGAGCCCGTCGCGGTGTCTGGATCATCGACGGGATGAACGCCTTCAACGCATCCGCCATGGCCCCCATTGCTTGTGATCGCCGTTGCCGCAGCCTGTGAGACAACCTGCAGCTGCGTGCGCCTCCAACCTCTGCATGTCCTCCGTGGACCCGCTGTGCTCGCTGATGGCCTTGACCTGTTCGGCGGCCAGCTGCTCAACCTGCTGGCTGTAGCTTCGGATCTGGGTATTATGGTCGGCCATCTGCCGCTTCGGCTGCGTGACCTGGCCCTGGATTGATCGAACCTGCCGGTATCGTGTCTCGTCGGCCAAAACAA